TACTTACATTCACATTTATAATATTAGTTGGGATTTCCTATAAAATTATCATGTCCTGTCTGTATATAATTATATATTTTGTTTGAAAAGGCATTTTTTACTTTTTATTAAAATCGATTAAATGTGACATTGTTCAAGTGAAGGTTAATGATCTCCAGAAAACTTTTATGTAGAAGTGGCGAACTTATCGTAAATTTTACATCAAATCCGTAGTACACATTTAAGTTAGTTCAGGTAATATAAAGTTTTAATATTTGGTAAAAGATAAGACTCATGAGTAATTATTGATATATTCTGATCTTAAAATTAATAATTTTAAGTTTATACGGTCGTACAAACGCTTGGTGTATTAACGCTTAACAAAGTTTTTCTTACATTTTGTTGCTTTCACAAAGTATATTCTGAATGACCTTCTGCTGAGACGTTAATACTAGAGGTATAATCCTGAGCTAGATGTCTGAGCATCACAAAACTTCTATACATTAGAATTCACACCTGTACAATTCACGGAACTTAGTACCGTGTTATACTGAAAGAAGAACTTTGGACCCAGATATCTATCAATATTCATGTTTCATTCATTGTCAGAAAAGTTTGTATCCTCCAAAACCCAAGGGTGAAATAAAACACACCAACTGATCACATGATGGTATGTGTAATGTTTTAAAGATCCGTGATTTTGCAGGAATCACCTTTTTTTTTTTTCAAACAGAAATTTAATTCAAATGAATGATCGATGTTTTACAGTATGTAAAGTACCTTTCTGCAGGCTAGCCTGTAAAAGTGCCCAGGATTATTTGAATTAAAAATTGCGATGAATCAAACTTATTTTTTTAGTTAATAGTGAACTAATGACAGTGAGAAAGCCCAATAATACTTAGCGCTTGGTTTTGATTTTATTTCATTTGTATAAGGGACGCATTGCACATGAGTCATACAAATGACAACTGTAGTTTATGCGACTCTTAAGCTATACTACAAACACAAGAGTATTATCGTTTATTTCATCCATTTAAAAATAACATACTTAAAAACAGAGTTGAACAGAGATATACGTGTTAATAACATGCGGATAAAGATGTGCGTTCTGTTATATATGCTCCCTGTATATAATAGACCTGACCAAGCCTTTTACCTAATCCAACCCTTGTCAGCATATTTGTAAGCACTAGATGCCCCCTGCATTGAAGAGTCAGTTCGTCACAAGCATCCAAAGCGGTAACCCTTGCCCGACATTCGAATTCCATTCTGATCTATTATATTTCAAAGTGTTTTAATAAGAAATAGATATTTTGTGATATAAACTTTTTTTTAAAAACCTAAATTCCGAAAACCGTATAACAGTTCGCTTCGAATATTCACGTGTCACTCCGAAGGATAGATTTGTTTATTACGTTGTTGCAAAATGTTGGCATTTATTAGACTACAAAGGCTACGTGAGTCCGAAGCAAGATAAAATAATCGACATTAATATTATAAGTAAAAATTCATATTGATCAATAATTACGGTACCTTTTAGGTCAGTGACCCTTTATGACAAAGCAGCAGTTATGAGATTGCTTAGATCTTTTTTAAAAGGTCAACAACTCTTTGAAAGTGAATCTTTGCTCTCTAAGCATTAATATATAACCTTGCAGACTTAATAGCTTCTTTACCTCTGCGATATTCGGACTACACGGAGTATTAAATAACCGAGTAACCTTACGTTTTATTATTCTGTTTACGATTAATGAACAATGCCCTTATACATAATCTTTTATTACAACTCGTTTATATAATTCATTCGTGTTTATGAACGTACGGTTGGGTTATATTGGAGCTCTGAACGTGCACTGGAATAACGTGTAACGGGGACAGTAAAATAAATATCTTACCCCCCCTTTGTAAACTATAGCTGACTTTGATTGTGGTAGGACCACGTAACAGCCTTCACTCTTGCACGAATGAGCAGGTCTGTTTGGGTAAGTACCACGACCTCACAGAAGACCGGCGTGAATTAAAAGACCTACACTTTCGCAGTGAGTGAGCTGGCCGTAGACCATGTTTCTAAAAGCTAGCAACGCATCAAAACCCACAGAGACACTTAAATTGAGTTTAGGGGATGATTGGCCCCTTGGATCGATCTGTCTTCCTGTTACATGTATAAAAATGTAGCGTCAGAAATATTTTTAAAGATATTGTCTAAAATATACTTAAAAATCAGCTTGGAGAATGTACGTGAGGTAAGCATTGTTTTTATGTACCTTGATTACCTGATACCTGGAATTGGCACATTGGCCCACTGATCAAGCTAGCAGGAAGACATGCGATCGAACATTCTAACACAAGTCAATCATACACATTTCGTTCGTCAGAAAATACGTGACGTCTGGCGGCTCTGGGATCTTGGACTATCAGCTATGTACCGCCCATTAGGATAGAGTCGGCTCGAGTCAACTGAGGGAACGAAAGAGATTTATTCAATGCATCACTGCTATACTAGCCCAGCGACCGTTTCATGAGAGAGTGTAAAGTATCAGTATCGACATTAACATGGTATGTCGTGGAAATACTTTATATTTAACACGTTGTTAAATATTATATGCGTTTGGGCATCTGAAATGTGACAAAAATCGTTGAGTTTTAGGCACTTGCTGCACTAGTTGTGTATTGTAATATTGCGCCGTAATATAAGTTTACTGCAAAAGTTACTTTATGAATGCAGAACAAAAAAGATGTTTTTCGTATTATTGTTTACCACGCCTTCATGAAAAGGATTAACATTTGTCGCATAGTTTTTTAATAATATTTTGTTATACATCTTACGGTGTTAAGATTACTGTTATAAGTTGCTTTGTTTTAATAATTTAGTTTTTTTGAGTGTAATAAATATTTTAATGTTTATTACTTATCTTTGCACTTAAGATGAAAGTAAAACGTGGCAATAAGTCCGTCGCAAACTTTTTATCTCTGCGAGTATTCGAAGATGCGCCTTTCGCGTCCAGAAGCTCCATCTACTAAGCAAACGTTCCACATCCTCGCCGCACGAAAACCGACGTTTAGTTGATACGTAATCATTCTTTTATTGTATTTGTAGAAAAGTGGTTGATGGAGTGTCAACTTTTTTGAATATGTAATGGAAAACACTCACATTGAGGGCATTAACAACACTGTGAACTAGATGTAATTGATAGTGCTATCCAAATTGTGATCATAATATATAATATAATTTTTTTAGGTTCAAACTTGCGCTGAACAGTGTCGAATAGTAGGCCTATTTGGCCATACTGGTGCGAGGTACATGGCAACAGATCACTGGCATAATAATAACTTATCCACAAGTTCGTCTATCAGTTCTTATTAATCAGAATACTTTGCAACCAAAAACTTCTTGATCCAAGGGAATATGCTCCCGTCGTGACTATATATTTAATTTCAATAATATTGTGGGAGTCTTATTTTAATATTTCGTAGTATTGGTTGAACTTGAGTGTGTTTTCATGACAAAAAAATGAAAAAATAATTTAGTATCATCTTTTGCACGTCTGATTATGTTCTTATTTTCCTTTGTATATAAAGGAACCATTTTATTTTCGTTTACCGACTCGTGCTTATCGAGTTTACCAGCTACTTTAATGAAAAGTTTATCGAGTCTTAAATAAATTCTTTAGAGATGAAGAAATATGAGATTTCCACGTGTGTCTATAAAAACAGATTAACATAAGGTAATACTCTTAGTATGATATCCATTATTCAGCCGACCGGAATTCCCGTCGGACTTTTAATAGCAATTAAACATTTTCCTCGTATTTTTCTAACGGAGATACACAGGACGCTCCGCATTTGATATTAACATTGATGGCATCGGATACGACTTCTTAATTAGAGAGAAAACACGCGATAGCTCGGCACCATACCCGTTAATCTTGTTATCGTGAATAACACGACCTGTTGATTGGCGATGACAAGCAAAAATACCTTTGACGCCTTTTGAATTAAAAAAAATAATGACGTTAATGTCGACTTACTATTTTCTAATAATTTGTTAAATTAATAGAACGTGTAATATCTGTAATTATACTCGCGCCTCGTCCTCGAGATTAGTAATTAATTATATTATATTATTACACATGTAGTAACGCATACGTACCACCACTCGGCACTTAAATTGAGAGATACCCTTATTTTTTTTTTAATATGTGGGTACTTTGAGTCCCTACACCCCCCCCTGCGTCCAATCCTCTCTCCGCCTCTCATTCGCAATTAAGTGCCTCACCACTCAACACGTCTCACAATTTAAGTTGTGTTTCGGTTTCTTAATAGTGTTTTAAAGTTAAAGTTTAAAAGAAATGCCTAAACGAAAACGTTCCAGAGAAGATACACTGGAGCGACTCCAAAGAAAAATACAAAAGTTGGAAGAAAAATTACATCGAATACACAGTGATGTTGCCGAATCTGGAGCTTCCCCGAATAGGGAAGGTGTAATACCTCTTACAAATTCGGACACAGGTATTTACCTGAGTTTATATTAAAATAAAATATGCAAGCGTATTGACGCATGATAACTACTCTATGCAACCTGAGCAGTCGCTGGGGCTGCCTCGACGCATGAGTGATATGTTCGGCATATAAAGCCTCTTAAAAAATCAGATACAGGTATTTACCTGACTTTACATTTAATATGCAAGCGTATTTACGCATAATAACTCTATGCAACCTGAGCAGTCGCTGGGACTGTCTCTACGCATGAGTAATATAGCATGGCTCACATGGGGTGATATAATATAACCCGCAGTTTAAGTTATTTAAATGTTATTAAAGAAATATACTCAATCACTCAATAGTGATAATCAGTGAAATACTGAGATATTATTTCTAAGATTCATTAATTCTCGTCGAACGTAAACAATTGTGGACTCACCCACAACTGTTGCCTAATAAAAATAAGTCAAACTACCTACAATCATATTCATGATGGGTTTCAGATACTCCAGAGTTACGGCCAGATGAATGGTTAATAGATGAAACACCTGATGAAGAAATCGAACAAAACCAGGCGGTTAACTCTTCAATTCAGCCTGACTTTAGTGACCCCCACACCACTGTCGGGTCCGAGTACGTCTTATAACGTTACACCAACAGAAGACGACTTACTAGAGATTTTAGGAGAGGATCCCTCCAACAAAAATAAGTATGGACCGGAAATACGCAGTGAACTTGCTAGTCGTATGGTACATATCGCTACAAGTGGTCTTAACACGGAACTACGTAAGGAGTTGATGTGCAAATACCCAATACCATCAAACTCTATCCAGATAGACGCATCTAAACTTAACATAGAAATAAAGGCTGTTATTCCGGAAACTGCCATTAAACGTGATAAGGGCATTGAAACAAAACAGAAACAAATGGCATGCGTTATTTCATGTCTTAGTAATGTTATAAACTCTCACATAAATTTACCGAGTAAAAATAACGACGAACTACGGAAACTAATGGACATAAACCGAATACTATGCGATATTCAGCATGCCGATTCTGTTACAAAGAGAAATTTTATCGTATTCGCGCTTAAAAGTGATGAGTTTCTATTTGGGGAAAACCTTCCCGAGACTTTGAAATCTGCAAAAGCAGTAAACAAATCTGGCCTCGAATTAAAAGCCAACATAACTACTACTAAGGCTGCACAAAGATTGCCCAAACCAGTTAATCGTTTAAACTACAGAGCTCCACCCCAGTCGCGCAGGTCGCAAGGGCAAGCGCTGCCACAGAGGTCGGCGCCAAGGAGCCGCGGACCTGCAACTCAACGTGCACCCCCTGCCCGTCCACCGCCGCAATCATTGAGGGAGTCATCGCAGCTGCACCGCCCACGCCGCGACTGAATAGAGTTAAGTACGCGGGACGTTTGTCCTTATTCCTTAATCAATGGTCCCTCATTACCAGCGACCGCAAGGTATTGTCTTGGATTGAGGGCTATAAAATAAACTTTAAACAGCCAGTAGTGCAATATTCGGTACCCCATGCTGTTTCATACACAGCTACCGAAAAGTTATTTTATCTCAAAGCTGTTAATGATTTAATTAAAAATGGAGCAATTTCCGAATGCGAACCATGTGCAGGACAATTTATTTCTAGAATATTTTTAAAATCAAAACCGAATGGTAAAAAGCGTCTAATATTAAACCTTAAGAATTTAAATACATTTATTAAGACAGAACATTTTAAAATGGAAGACCTAAGGACGGCAATTAAAATGGTCACAAAAGATTGTTACATGGCCACTCTCGACCTCAAGGATGCCTATTTTTTGATAAAAATTCACGAAAGTTCTAGGAAGTTCCTCCGCTTCTTTTTTGACAATAAAATATACGAATTTAATGTACTCCCATTTGGATTAAATTCTGCCCCCTACATATTTCCGTTTTTTTTTTTTCAAGAATTTACAGGTAGGTAGTATAAGACAATTAATATAATTAAAAATTATAATTCTCTTTCAAGTTATCGATCACTTTAAAATTGATAATTTTTTGATAAATGTTAAATAATTATTTTATTTTATACTTTAAGGCAAATGTTTATGTACTGTATTGCTCATTAATTTCAAAATTGTATATATGGATTTCTTCCATTTATGTGCTGATTCTTTTTAAAACTTCGGCTCCACATTTCAAACTTTATCGAAGATGTATTTTATGCGATGAAATTGGATTTACCGAGGCTTCCTCCTCCGTTGCAACGCGCATTTTGTTTGATTTAAAAATAGAGTATGCTACTCAGATCCGACCACGCAAAAGTTTCCTTTTACTTTTAAAACATTCGTGTATCCTCTTGAATACGTTCGACGTAAATGCCTCTTTTGGTGAACGTCTTAACGAAATGGTGCTGGCTTTTGACATTATTTCGTGTTATAGTATTATTGTATTAAGATTAAATAGTATTATTACGTATTTAGTATAGATTTTGTTACGAAATATCATAAAATGCTACTTCCAAACGGTGTCTTAGCGCATTTAATATTTTAATGGATTTATCGCGTTTGTTTTTAGTTTGATTTTAGTTCCCGATGGTTTATCTTTGGAAGGAATCGGTGTTCTTTTGCAAGAATCTGTGGTCTATTAAACTGGAATTAGTCATTGGGAGGATTTAATGCGTGTTCACAAACTGCAGAATTGTTTGATCTGTTATGATTTTTTCCAGCTATGTTTTTCTTCACGCAGGTTTTTATTTCTCTTTTTGTTTGTCCTACGTAAGAGAGCCTACATTTACACCAAAGCGCGTACCCTCGGATCTTGCAGAGGAATATTGCAATCGACAGATTGTACTGTGTAATCTTCTTCAGCGGCTTGTAGTGTTCGTGTTTGGAGACGAGCTTAGTGTAATTACATTCTTCATTGTTTTTAAGGATCTAATTTCCAAATTCAAAAGCTTTGACCTTAGTTTTACGCTATCGTAAGTTAACTTTGTACCTGTTACCTAATCAGCAGATCGTCGAATGTTTCGAACCGCGGATTCGACCCAGTGCCTTCCGAACTCCGCATCCAAACGCTCTAGCTACTAAGTTACGATCAACATCACACAACGTCGCGAAGAATTTTCAGCAATGCTTTGCTTTATCTAATGTGTAAATAAATTAAATGTGGGTTTTAATAATAATAATAGTAAACCAAAAAAGAAAAAAGTACGAAAAAATTAAATATTTATCAAATCAAATGTCATCCAAAGTGACCTTACTGCTACACAGAAATTTCTTCCAGGTAATTATTAGAATTTTTTAAGATGTAGTAGGTACATGAAAAGAAATAAAAATTAAAAAAGCCACAAAAATTAAAGTAATAAGAAAAACATAGCTCTTGTGAGTGATCATCGGGTTAGGACTGAAATAAAAAGGGTAGGAGAGAGATATACAGAGATAGAGAGGAGCTAGACGGACAGATAATGCTCCTTAGTCTGTTTTTAAAAGAATCTAGGGATTGGGCACGTTTAATAGCCAAAGCTAAAGAGTTTTACGTGAAAAAATATAGCTCAGCTGATTTTTAGAAAACTCCTTATTTTAATTAGCTAAATTTCATTTAGTTTTTTTTTTTACTTTGGATGCAAATACGTTTATAGTTCGAAACTTAAAATTGTAGATATAAAAACATGAAATTCATTTAAAACAAAATTCTTATAAAGACTAATATAAAATTCTGACGAATGCCGCTTGGGTAAGCAGGCATGTTACCAGTCGTTCAATACATAACAGCTTCCGGCATCTTGGTTTTTATTGTTGGACCTCAATAAAACATACTATTAATGTTTTGAATGATTTAATGTTTGTAATAAGATTGATTGTGAAGCTAACAGCAGCTTGCGATGTATTAAAAGATAATGAACGCCATTTATGCTTATAAAAAATGTCATGGACATTCAATTGACCCATTTTCTTGTATCTTGTATCTTTTATTAACTGATTGTGCTTTCAGTCCAGAGACTATTAAAGCTTCATCTGACGCAGAACCGGTGGGCAAGCCAGAACCCACGGGTTTGGGCCCTCCGCTGTGGGTAGGGCCGCGCATGTGCTCATGCGTGCGTTTAACTACGGCATGTCATCTAAGGGCCATCGAAGTAACGGTGAGGACCGGGACCCCGATGGCCGTCGACTGTGTTTTTAGCTAATCGGTGGCTGGGGGCGATGAGAACCGCCCTGGAACGCGGGTGTACCTTGTGTACACGTTGTGTTGGTCTCGCCGTGCTCGGAGGCGAGGGCGAACTAATGTGTTTGTTGCTACACTAACTGTGTGTGTAGTGTTATCCGGCGGGACCCCCCGACGGTGGGTCCGACGTACCTAAGTCCCCTTCCTCGACCGGTCGATGAGGACGTTTCGCGGACGATGCTTGTTGACGCTAGCGTTTGGATCGGGTTGATAATTTGCTGCGTTTACCACCAGAGGGTTGGGATGATGTTCGGCTCTATCGAAGAACCGATTGGTCAGGTCTTTGAAAAATTCGCGAATCATCGGGAGTCTGCAATCACTGTGCAGGTCGACGTTGCGTTGATACCACTGCGCACCGGTTGTGCGGCGGATGAACTTATTTTGCACTACTTGCAACTTGTGCAAGCGAGTAGGGTGCGTGTGGGCGAAAATCATGCATGCGTAGGACATAATTGGCCGTATGCAAGCTTTGTATAAAAGTTATTTGTGTCTTAAGGACATTTTACTTGACTGGTTAGTTAAAGTGCTTAGCCGGCCGGAGACGAACGCGGCTCTGTTACGGACGTTATTAATATGCGCTGTGAATGACATACGCGAGTCGAAAGTGACTCCTAAATAATTTACCTTTTTCTCCCAGGGGAGCGGTTGGCCATAAAGAGATATTTGCCCTAGCTTTCTGCATTGGCGACGACCTTTATAAAGATTTGACGGGTAAGTACTTCGTGTGAAGTGAATCGCCACACTCTTTTCGGGATTTACTTCAATTCTCCATTTGCGGAACCAATCGCCGAGGCGGTTGGCGGCGCTTTGGAGTCGAGTGGTTAGTTGACTAAGGTTGCGGTCTGAATAAAAGAGCGCCGTGTCATCCACGAAAACGGCGAGATTGACGTGGGGGTCTTTTGGTATATCGCTCGTGTAGAGCGTAAAAAATAAGGGTGAGAGGCAGAAGCCTTGTGGAACGCCAGCCGTGAGGCAGCGGCTTGTAGAGAGGGCGCCCTCAACTCCATATCGAAAGGAACGGTTCGACAAGAAGGCCTGAATGGTGTGTACAAGCCTGTCTGGCACTTTGAGTGAGAACAGCTTGTAAATCAAGCCGTTGTGCCAGACTTTGTCGAATGCCTTTGCGACATCGAAGAAAAGAGCCCCCGTGCTAATATGTTTAGGGTGATTTAGGCCTTTTAGGATATGTTCCGTTAGGCGGTATAATTGATCGGGACAGGAATGTCTTGCTCGAAAGCCGAATTGTTCCGCCGGCAGAAGGCCGTTGGAAAACAAGTGCTCTTTGAGCTTGTTTAATAGAAGCCGCTCGTAGAGCTTCCCCAGGCAACTGAGGAGGCTGATGGAACGATAACTAGAGGGCTGATTGGCTGGTTTATTCGGCTTGCGAATGCCGATAACCGTGGCTTCTTTCCAGTCGTCCGGAAAGGAACAACTGGATAGTAAAGTGTTGTAAATGGTCGCCAGTAAACAGATAAGTGGCCCAGGGAGAGCTTTAAGGATTTTATTACTAATATTGTCTGGGCCCAGGGCGGATTTGGGTTGTAAATTTTTGATAATATGTTGGACCTCTTCGGGGGTTACTGAGTTTAAAGGATCGCCTTCCGGTGGAAGCGCAGCCCTAGTTTCGATAACGCGGCCCTCCGTTAGGTGGGCTGTGTCGATGTGTTCGCGCGATGGCGTACATTGCTGCTCTAGGTTGTCCGCAAGGCATTCGGCTTTATCGGAGTCATCTAGGGCTAATGAAGTGCTATTAGGCATTGCTAACGGCGGTAGGGATTCGCGGGGCTCTGCTTTCAGACTGTGGGCCAACCGCCAGTAGGCGGTGTGCGATGGCTCGATATCCTCTAGTAGTGTCCCACTCGGTATGTCGGTGTTCCGATACGCGATCTTTAACTTCTAGCTGAAGGCGTCGAAGTAGGGTTCGGTTCGATTCTGATCGATATCGGTCGAAAGATCGTTTGGCTGCATTTTTTTGTCTAATTAGCAGTCTTAGGTCGGGTGGAAAGTTAAACCGTCGGTCGCCTGACAGTTTCACTGTTCGGTCCGAATCTGCAACTGCGGAAGTGATAGATGCGCGAAGACTTGCTATCGCTCGATTTGCGTCATCGAACGTAGCTATCGTCTCGGGTAGGTTGACGATGTGCTGGGTCCAAGGCCTTGAGTTTGACCTCAAGGCGATGCCAGTC